CTATATTCCTGACTATCTTGTCTGCTGCACATATAAATGCAAAATATTTTAATTTATATAAAACTACAAGTTTGTGTCAGCCTCTCTGACTTCATAAGGACAGCTGCCGTGCAATTCCATGACAAGATCTCACAGCAACATACATAATATTCCTTCCTCCAATTTTTCTCTACAACAATCCAGTGGTGAAATCCAATTTTTTTTACTACCGGTTCTGTGGGCGTGGCTTGGTGGGTGTGGTGTGGCTTGGTGGGAGTGGCTTGGTGGGCGTGGCAGGGGAAGGATACTGCAAAATCACCATTCCCTCCCCACTCCTGGGGGAAAGGATATTGCAAAATCTCCATTCTCACCCCACTCCTGGGGTAAGCCAGAGGTGGCATTTGCCGGTTCTCCAAACTGCTCAAAATTTCCGCTACCGGTTCTCCAGAACCTGCTGGATTTCATCCCTGCAACAACGAGTTAAGATAATCTGTGAGGGAGGGAGGGAGAGAGAGAGAACAAACAATTGTCCCAAAGTAATCTAGTGATTACTTTTTAGTGATTCTGCAAGTCCCTTGGACTGCAAGGCAATCAAACCAGTCAGTCCTAGAGGAGATCAACCCTGACTGCTCTTTAGAAGGCCAGATCCTGAAGCTGAAACTCAAATACTTTGGCCACCTAATGAGAAGGAAGGACTCACTGGAAAAGAGCCTAATGCTGGGAAAGACTGAGGGCAAAAGAAGAAAGGGATGACAGAGAATGAGGTGGCTGGATGGAGCCACTGAAGCAGTAGGCGTGAGCTTAAATGGACTCCAGAGGATGGTAGAGGACAGGAAGGCCTGGGCAACTAACAACAATATAGAATAGAATAGAATAGAATAGAATAGAATAGAATAGAATAGAATAGAATAGAATAGAATAGAATAGAATTCTTTATTGGCCAAATGTGATTGGACACACAAGGAATTTGTCGTGGTGCATACACTCTCAGTGTACATAAAAGAAAAGATACATTCGTCAAGAATCATAAGGTACAACACTTAATGATAGTCATAGGGAACAAATAAGAAATCAAATCATATTAGGAAACAGTCAATATAAATCATAACGATACAGCAACAAGGTTACACTCATACAGTTATAAGTGGGAGGAGATGGGTGATAGGAATGATGAGAAGATTAATAGTAATGCAGACTTAATAACTAGTTTGACAGTGTTGAGGGAATTATTTGTTTAGCAGAGTTCAGGAAAGAACTGTTGTGTCTAGTTGTTCTGGTGTGCAGTGCTCTATAGCGTCATTTTGAGGGTAGGAGTTGAAACAGTTTATGTCCAGAATGCGAGGGGCCTGTAAATATTTTCACAGCCCTCTTTTTGACTAGTGCAGTATACAGATCCTCAGTGGAAGGCAGATTGGTAGCAATTGTTTTTTCTGCAGTTCTAATTATCCTCTGAAGTCTGTGTCTGTCTTGTTGGGTTGCAGAACCAAACCAGACAGTTATAGAGGTGCAGATGACAGACTCAATAATTCCTCTGTAGAACTGGATCAGCAGCTCCTTGGGCAGTTTGAGCTTTCTGAGTTGGCGCAGAAAGAACATTATTTGTTGTGCTTTTTTGATAACGTTTTTGATGTTAGCTATCCATTTTAGATCTTACGATATGGTAGAACCTAGAAATTTGAACGTCTCTACTGTTGATACTGTGTTGTCTAGTATTGTAAGAGGTGGTAGTATGGGAGGGTTTCTCCTAAAGTCCACCACCATTTCTACGGTTTTGATTGTGTTCAGTTCCAATTGTTCTGGTTGCACCACAAGGCTAGTTGTTCAACCTCCTGTCTGTATGCAGATTCATCATTGTCTCGGATGAGACTGATCGCTGTTGTGTCATCTGTGAACTTCAGTAGTTTAACAGATGGATCATTTGAGATGCAGTCATTGGTATATAGAGAGAAGAGAAGTGGAGAGAGCACACAGCCTTGTGGGGCCCCTGTGCTAATTGTACAGGTATCTGATGTGATTCTGCTTAGCTTCACCTGCTGCTTCTAGTGATCTTCTGTTGCTATGGATCGACTTGAGCTTGGATATCTCCAGTTCCAACCCAGTAACTTACCCACTACATCACATTGGCTCAATCCCTCCCTATGTTATTATCAATACTTCCCCTCAATATTTCAAGGAAAAGAACATCTGCTTTTTAGACAAATTTTAGTCTGAAGTTATAAGCTTTCTTGAACTGTAGCTCATTTCATCAGAAGCATGGAGTGACTTATCTAATGTGGGACATAAAGTGGGGTAAGGGAGAGAGTTTGGAAGGACAGATACTGAAGCTGAGGCTCAAATATTTTGGCCACCAAATGAGAAGAGGGAACTCATTGGAAAATGAGTTGGGAAAGATTGAAGGCAAAAGAAGAAAGGGACAGCAGAGGATGAGAGGGTTAGATAGTGTCATCGAACATGAATTTGTGCAAACTCTGGGAGACAATGGAAGACAGGGAAGCCTGGTGTGCTATGGTCAATGTGGTCGGACACAACTTAGCAACTGAACAACAACATAGGGTGGAGGGGGAAGAGACATGAATATGCAGACCCAGGTTATGTATGTGACATATTGTGACTGTATTAAATTATAATTGTATTAAAACCCAGTGTGTTTGTTAAGACCTTCTGAGGCAGCCTGAAATCTTTTCAAGTATGTGAGTTCAACAAAGGATCTTTTGTTCAAAAGACAACTGGGCTTTTCTTGTTTGTTTCCCCTTGAAAACATTTCACTTCTCATCCAAGGAACTTCTTCAGTTCTGAGGTCTTGGATGAAAAACAAAACATTTTTCAAGGGAAAAAAACAAGAAAAGTCCAGTTGCTTTTTAAAAAAGCACCTTTGGGACAAGCATGACTGAGAATCTCCATAAACATGTGAGTTTGACAATTTATTATTCAACTGTCTTGGTGAAATTTCTTTGTTCAACAGCTACTTTGAAATCTGAAAAGGAGTGTCCTGGGATGTTAGAATGCTCTGCCTCTGTATTACTTTATTGCTTGGGATTCTGATGTCAAATGTGTCCATTAATTCTTTTGCACAAAGTCTGGCCTGTTTGTCTTATGCAAAATCCATAGGGACATGGCTGGAAGATGATGGCATAGATCACCTTAGACTAAGAAACAGCATATGAAGATGCCTCTAATCTTGTATGTGAAGTTGCTGGAGCAGATGATAATGGCATTGATGTAAATGCTTTTAGAGTAGGGAAGGGAAGAGTATCTAGAACTTTTTGGAAGATCTGGTTCCCATTTTAGCATCAGTTTCTGGTTGCTTGTGAGAAATAACTTTAGATTGGGTGCTTTATATGCAAGTATGGGTCTGTCACCTAATGCCTGAGAAAGTGCAGGGTCCTTGTCTATAGGGATTGTAGTTTATTAATAGGTGTTTGAGTGATTTGAGCTATGAGTTGTAGGTGACAACCAGTGTTGGACTGTTTTTGTGATCTTTTAATATGTCTTCTCTGGGGACCAATCTGGCACTCTTGATTTGTCTGTTGATTTTGCTGAGTGGGTAGTTCAGTCTTCTGAATGCCTGGTTTAATTCCATCAATTTAGCACCACTGTCAAATGAATCAGATCAAATGCAGTTGTAGTGTGGATCCTGTTTATAGATGAAAATTTGATGATGTGTTTTGGGTGGAATTTGGAAACATTTTGGTATGCATGGGGACTGTAGGGTTTTTTTTGTGCAATGTGGTATGCATGTGTCTGTTATGCATTTTTACCCTGACATCAAGGAAGTGGACTTATTCTGAAACTACACTGAGGTTAAAGCTGATGGTCAGATGGAAGTTGTTGAAGTCTTAGTGAAGTTTGTTAAGAGATGCTTTTCCACAGGTCCAGATAATTCATTGTCATCAGTGAATCTCAAGTAAAGGAAGGGGTTTCAAGAGGTAAGCATTGTCGAGGAAACATTGTTCTAGGTTAGCCACCATGTTGGCATGTTGTTGGGCCATGTGAATGTCCTATGCTTTGCTACTGCTCTGCAAGTATATATTGTTGCCAAAATTAAGTAGTCACAGGTGAGGACAGGTGATAGAGTTGGATGGTAAAAATGGTGCTCTTAATCTCTTTCACATTTCCCTGCATTTGCATATCTGCCCCAACTTCCCCTCCTGTTTGTACTTTGCCTCTTCCCAGTTTACCTTTGCATCAGAAAGGCTAACATTTCGGCTCTCCATGCATCTGATGAAATGAACAGTAGTTCACGAACGCTTGTCTTTTCGTGAAATGTATGAGTTTGAAGCCAGTTTGATGTAGAGCTTAAGGCGCAAGCCTAGAAATGAGGAAACAGTGAGTTTCTAGTCCTTCCTCAGGCACAAAGCCACCTGGGTGACCTTGTGCCAGTCCCTCTCTTTCAGCCCTAGGAGGGAAGCAATGGCAAACCATTTCTGATATCTTGTCAAGAAAACATCAGGGACCAGAGCACCAAACAAAACAAAGCGTCAAAACAAAAAACAAAACCTGCCCCCAGATTCCTCTTAATTTTGGCCAATCGGAGCTTTCTTCCTACAATGTTTGCTTTGAGAAGTATCAATTTCTCTTGCGTCTCTTTCCGTGCCTACCCTCTCCAGTTGCCCAATTTCGCTTTCTATTACACTCCGTTAAGAATGCCCCATTCCCCAGGCCCCGCGATCCTTCTTCCGAAGCGGCAAAGAGACAAGGCACGCAGCGCCCAGGGAAGAAGCCCTGCTCCCTCTGTTGAGCGGAGGGCTTGAGTTCTCCCCAAGATCGCGACCTTCTCCCGTGGCATATCAGGCCAAGCAACAACGATCAGTCCCCCGCCGTTCTTTCCTTTCCTTTTAAACGCTCTGCCTTTACTCGCCCGGTTCTTTTTTTTTTTCTCTTTCTTTTCTCAAGCGCTTCTGGTTCCCCCCAGTTGGGCACGGCGCGGGCCCTTGGGAAGAGGACGGAGGGGCGGTCTTTCTCAGGCAAGGGGCGGAGCCTGTCTGCCCCCGCCCCCGCTTGTGCGTGACGTGAGGAAACGAGGCTGGCGCCAGCCGCCTTCCCTGCGTGTGTAGGCTTTGCGTGTGTGTACATGCAAGCGAGGGAGCGAGAGGCGAAGGAAGCGGGCGCGTGCGGAGGAGTCTCCCGCGAGGCTCGCCGAAGCCCAGCGCAGCAGGCGGGTGCCGGGGTCCGGCCGCGGGGCATGGAGAGCCTGCTGGAGAATCCGGTGCGCGCCGTCCTCTACCTGAAAGAGCTCACCGCCATCGTCCAGAACCAGCAGAGCCTCATCCACACCCAGCGCCAGCGCATCGACGAGTTGGAGAAGCGCCTAGACGAGCTCAGCACCGAGAACCGCAGCCTCCGCGAGCAGTACGCGCTCCCGGCGGAAGCCCCGCCGCCGCCGCTGCCGCTGCAGCCGAGGGTTCCCCCTGCTGCCTCCTTGCCTTGCCGAGCGCCGCCTCCGGGCCAGCAGCAGCAGCCGGCGGCGGCGGCGGCGGCGGCGGCGGCGGCTGAACAGGAGGAGTTTCAGCACCACCAACAGCTCCCGGCGCTTCAGCAGCCGCCGCCGCGGCACCCGCCGCCGCCTCCGCCGCCTCCCAGCAGTAGCAAGCAAGCTCAGGCCGGCCCCAGCGGCACCCGGACGCCGATCTCACACCAGCACCCTTCCCTCCAGCCCCACCAGCACCACCACGAGGACAGCCGGGAAAAGAGCTGTTGCCCTGCCCTCCTTCCGCACAAAAGCCCCCCAGCCCTCGGCAAAGGCGTCTTAGTCAGAAGGCTAGAGTAAGTCGATGGGGGCGGGGGCGGGGGCGGTTGGGGGGAGAGCGGGAGGAGGTGGCTGGGATGCCCAGACCCCCCCCATAAGTAAATAAGTAAAACGGATCCAAAGTATCCTCCTTTTGGGAGCAAAGATTGGTCCTTCCCCCTCTCATCCTGTGTAACCCACCGCTGCAATCGACTCGAGTGGGCGGGTGGGGAATCCCTTCCCAAGTGAATTGTACAGTTTTCCATAGGATTACGGAGGGGCTAAAGCTGCCCAGCCACAGGGGTATCATCTTGCTGATTCCAAACTGGCTTTCTCATTAGTGCCCCGTGGCTGGAGGGTACAGTGTTATCAAATTCGCCACCCACTCACTTGCCAAGTCTTCTTGTGAAAGCATGTGGTGGTTGTGGTGATGATGGGTTTTTCACCGTCCCTGCTATTTTGTAGGTTATATGTTTGTGATGGAAACCCAGAAGCAAAGACAGATCTGAATGAAGGAGAGAATGAGCTGAGCGGTGCGCCTTGTTTTGTACGCCTCTCTGTGTGTAATGTAAAATCTCTTATTACACAACTAGGGTTTCCCTTCCATTAAGGTGGTATGGACATATTACAGATGCTTAGTGCCATTTGGATGAACCTTATTTTTATATTTTTTGTGAAGATGCAGGTTTGCTTTGTCTGCAGGTTTTATGCTATGCAATGATGACTTCCAGCTGCTAAAGAATCAAACAATCCTTTTAAAGGTTTCCCTTTGGCAGAGAAAGTGTGGTTTTCTGTAGTGTGATCTGGGGAAGCATCGCTCTATTGCAAGGAATGCTGTAAAATAGTAAGTTATTTTTCAGGGTAGACACAAATTGCATTTAAATTAGCCAACCACTTAGTCAATGGATCAAGCTAATGTTATCTACCCATCTCTTCAAGATGTTTTCAGGAAGTGATATTACAATATTTTGTCTGTATGTGTGTGTGCTTGCCCAGGAAATTAAAATAACTACACTGACAGAGAAAGATAAAAAATAAAGCTTAGGTGTGGGTACTTCATAGTGTACAAGTAAAGTTCGAAATTTGGAATCTAGCCTTCGCTTTTGATTTTTAATAGTACAGATGAAAGCTAAAGCTACCATTATCACCAATGATAAGAATTTGTCACTTGCTTTTTATTTAAAAAGCAGATGGTCTCTTGAAAGAAGGGCTATATTTTTAGTTGGCTGCCACAGAATTAGGCATTGTGCAATTTGGAGAGGTAGCCCCCTTTCTCTCTGAATCAGAAAATATAACACATGGAGGGTAGCTTTCTTTTCCTGAATGTAAAATGTATGTTTTCCTAGCAGCATATAATCAGAATTTTTAAAGTTTTGCATATTGAACTCATAGTAATAAATGCTTTTCGGGTAACAATTATTGGTATATTGGGCCCATTTATCCTCCCAAAAATGCTGTAGAAGCTCTTCTGTATTCAGTTGTTGTACATTCAAAGTCTGAAAATGGCATTAACTGGTGCTGTATCAGTGTAAAAGCTAAACAGGAAATTTAGAAGTCTGTTAAAACAACAAAAACAAATCTTAGTTTATTTATAATAGGAAAAAAAGTGTTACAAAAATAGTATTGCCAAGATTTTTTTCCCCATCTCATTCTCATTTCTCACATATGTTGCAAGATTGAGCATGCATATGCTTTAAATGCATTAAACTGAAAATCTGTTTCCTGTTTCCAACATTTGGATTCATTAATTTTTTCCAAACATTGAAGTCGGGGAAAAAGAATAGGGTAGTTCTCATCCAAATGTACACTCAAGGGATACGTTAATATTATGACATGTGTTGTCCCGAGGACAGCATAAAGCTCTACATCATCAGCAAGGTTAAATTAACCTCCTGTTTTATTCTGAAGGTTTGCCAAAGCAATTTTTAAGCTAAAAATGCAGTACTGTATACAATGTGCCTAGTAGGTCAGCTCTCCGTAATATGACGTGTCTGTAGATATGTTGGAGTTGCAACATAGTATTTTGCATAGTAATGTTGGGGAAAGGCTAAGTATGTTTGAAAGTCAAAGGGCCCTATCATCTTAACATCTTTAAAATATGTCCGTCATATTGGAACCTCCAAATGCTGTTTTGGTGACTTACAAATTTTTTTTATTCAACTGATCCCAAACTCTGTTTGATTGGACTGATAATCAAGAGAGAAATCTTCCATTTTCAAATGGCAATTGTGTGATCTGCCATTTGGAATTGGAAGAGGTTTGAAGTGCCTTTCCTTTCAAAAGGCTATGTGTGAATTGTGTGGCTTTGCAAATGCAAACCAAAGAGCAGAAGCAGGAGTCAGTTAATTTTTGCAATGTATACACATGAATTCTCAACTCAAAATCACTCAAAATATGCGTGTAATATGAGACCAGTTGATGAACAAAGCTCAGAAGATGCAGTTTTGCACCTTGGAAGAGCTGGATTAAATCTGCCGTGGGTAATCTCTGGGTGTCTTGTTTCATCTGGTAAAGATCAGGGGAATTTAAACTTTTTGGCAAAAGCTGTGTGAAGATTTAGCATTTCTTCCAGACCTGGAAGCCTTATAGAAAGGTGTTCAGTAACTTTGTATGCAATTAACCAAAGAATCCTGTAGCATTACGTGATTGTACAGGAGAATGTCCCAATAGCTTGCATCTTAGGCTGTATTCTCTAAAACACTTGAATTTATTATTTTGAATAGATCAGATGAGAACACTAATTTCAAATGGGTTTGTTCCCTATCAAAAGGTTTAGGATGAGGGATTACAAAATCCTTTTATTGGTTGCATTGTGTGTGTACAGTGGCAATATTGTGTTTGATAAAGTGTTATTCTTGACATCCTACATCCTACCCACTTCATATTTTACCAAACTTTTAGAAACTGAGCATTCTTCTTTCTGTAGAGAAAGTAGTTTCAAACTGGAGTTATTTTTTAAAAAAATTCTTCTTGAAACTGGTACTTTGACATAGAAAAAGAGCAGACTATATAATAGCCAAATATACTGAAAGACATTATCAGCATAAACAGACAGTAGTTTCTCTGTGGCAGTTCTCTGATGTAACGAATTCATGCTTAAATTAGCGAGCAATCCTCCTTTGCTACTGCATGCTTTCTAAAGATGGTAAAAGATGGCCTTTGATATTGTTTTCCAAGGAGAGAATTCACTTGACTGATCTAAAAACTGTGGCTTTTTTCTTCAACATGCTTAACAGTGTCAAGTCTCTCTCCCAGATAAATCTCTAGCAGTAGTTCTAGCAGCTCACTTACTGGGTCAAAAATCACATTCTGAGAAATACAGTCTCCATTCAGTTTCTCCAGGAAGTGCCTAACATCTGAAGAGCATTTGTAACAAGGGAATACTGTCAAGACTTCATTACATCACTATCTTCTTTTCACATTGGCTAGATAAACACATAACTATAACACAAGGCAAGAGAAACATTTTTTAAAAAGCATATGGTATGCTTTTAAAAATAGAAGAGCAAGCTAGTCATAGGTTTTAATGAGTAGATTTACTATTCATAAAAGATAAATAGATGATAGGTAGGTAGGTAGGTAGGTAGGTAGATAGATGATAGACAGACAGACAGATTTTTGTGGTTTGAAGAAGTAATTAAAGAAAGGAAATTATTGGAAATCCCCATCCATGTCTCTTCATTAGCAAAGATTTCCCAATCTTTGGAGTATAGTGAGTACATTTGAATGTTGAATATTTGTCATAAGCAGTTTCAGAAATGGCTGCAATTATAGCATGGATGGACACAAAATTCCTATTTTCCAGAAGGCAGATCAAGCTCTGGGCTTCAGCTCGCCACCATTTTACTTTCTAAGAATATTTCTGAGACATGTATGTGGTCCAGAGGTTTTGTTAGACTACTCGTTACTGTTGAGGTTATGCCTTGGTTTGTAGCATGCTAGCATCTCATTCCTTTTTTACTTAAACTAATCTAAAAAAAAAAAAAAACCTAGATAAGACAAACAGTTTTGGGAAGATCCAAGCGTATTGTTGCCTTCAGGACTTCATTGGGATTTTCTGAAAGAGATTCCTGCTTGTGATGTAGGTGTAGATCTACTTATGAGTAGATCACTCCTTAGTTGCATGCAATGTTTCTGCTCCTCAACTCCAGTCACTTGCACTCTCAACCTGGGGAAATATGAACTCGCATTCCAAAACAGATAACTAAATCTGCATCTCCATGGCTTCTGGCCTCTGAATTGGCTGAAAAGACCAAATCCATGGCTGTTGACCAGGCTCCTTTAAAAAAGGCTTTTTCCAGGAGAGACAAATCAATCCCAGGGATTATTACTTAGTTAGTTTATTTTGGAGATGCCAAGATTGAATATGAGCCCTAGGTAAGAGAAATAAACATGAAGCAGTATACACAGTACCATGTTTCCCCAAAAATAAGACCCTGTCTTGTATTTTTTTGAACCCTGAAATAAGCACTTGGCCTTATTGCCATGTGTTCAAAAGCCCGATTGGGCTCATTATCAGGGGATGTCTTCTTTTGGGGGAAACGGGGTATTTATATTTCCCACTAAACATCTGGTTTAACTCTAAATTAGACAACATGTGACCCACTGGAACATTGTTTCAGAGATACTTCCTTATCTAAACAGAGAAACAACATGACCATGGGCAGCCAAAAATACATGGGAGTGAGGGCAATTTCCCCTTTCCTGCCAGTTTCCTGATTGACTTCCCTTGCAGGAAGCTGGCAGGGAGCATTGGAAATGCCGATCACATGATCACATGGCTTGGTAGTCCCAGCATGCATTTCTAACATTATGATAATCATATCTCACCATTCTCAGTGATGAAACAGATGACTTACGAAGAGATTTGTTCGTTACTGCAAAAGAAAGAACATGGCTAAGGGCAAATATGGATGGAATTTTAGATGGAGGAAAGATACGGTCCTAATAATTTTGCTATAGAAGTTTATTGATCTCAGGCATCCTTCTTTGTCTCTGAAAATTGCTTATATTAAAAAATTGTGATACCAGTCCAACT